AACTCCAACACGAACTCAATTATACACTGAATTAATGTTATACGCACCTGAACTCACTACAATTAAAATAGACGATAAATTCCAGTAATGATAAAGTCAAACTAGTAACAGCTATGAAATAACTATTACATACTATGTTCTAATAGTCGAAAAAGTGCGCATTAATTGTTAATGTAAGATGGTGAGTGCCGGTTTACAAACGAAAATGATAATTTAATATTTACCAACTAATGATTCAATGAAAAATGAAGTACTTTATGCGTTAATAGAGAAATCACGAGGCATCGATTTAAAATAAATTACATAGTAAATTGCTTACTTTGAGTTCCATATTTTGACACGGGAGATGTATAGTCTATTATATTTATAAAGCAAATTATTTATATTGCCTTATGTGTGTAACTTTTGTAATTCCCTCGATAGTTACTTTAGCCAAGTTTAATAATTGATGCTTTGTAAATTGGTTCACTCAAAATTAAACTTTTAACATTATTGTAAGCATTAATTCTTACTATTGCTATCTCCAACAATAGTTACTTCTAATGCAGATTTATCATCATTGTACAGTTCGCTTATAGGCGTGGAAGCTCCTAAGATTTCTTTTTTCGGATGACGAACCGCAACACAATCAGTTGGCATTCTTTCGGAATCATAGCCAAGCCTAATTAGTAATAGCTTTTTTAAGTCATCCAAGTCTTTTAAGCCTTTGTTCTGCAATTCTTCACGCGTAAAAGAGAAAGGGTCTCTTCCAAGGCGTCTCACCCAGATCTTGTCTGAAGTAACTTGAGGCACACTATGATTGACAAAATATAAATAAGTGATAGAAATTCAAAAGGAAAATATTCGGAAATGTGTAAAATTTAATATACTCAGTAAGGTTTGAATATTCAAGTTCGTTAGTATTAAAAGTCTTATTCGAAGTAGCTTGCGACATACTATGATTTGAGATATGATAAATAGTAAAAAATAATATTCGAAAGAGAAAAGAATAAACGTTAAGCTCTGAATACTAGGAGTGAAAGTATCAAACTTTTTTCTTCCGGATTTTTTAACTCGATGCCAATTAGAATGTGAACAACGATAATGACAAAAAGTTTCATTAAAAAGTCATTTACCTAATGTATAACCTATGGTTTGCGATCTAATCTTTAAAAGAGAATTTACAGAAGTTAACTTTATCAGTCAATCCGTACGTACTGTACGTACTAATTATGTATTGTTAAAAATTCCTTTCACATTAACGCTCAAGCATTATTATTTTGTGTCACTCATTGATTATTACGTACATCTGATTGTGTAAATGGGCGGTGTTGTTTTTTTTCCTAAATAGAGCACTTTATTAATTTTATTAAATTAATCTATGCGTAATATAAATAATATTTATTTATAAAGATTTATCCCTCCTTGTCCCACGTTTTCCAATTTATCTATTATTCGTTTGTTAACTTGGTTGACTACTTTTCACTTTTTATTACCACCGTCCCTATTTGATTTAAAGCACTTAGGAGATTACTTCGATGTGTAATTGTAGATCAGTCATGAAATGTAACGAAATGTGTCTTGATTTCCTGTAAGAACGAGATTTGGATAGGATCTTCGTAAACTAGGTTAGATCATCAAAATCGGCCTGGCCTGGTG